TGTCATTTCTCATGCATTAGGGTTTAAACACTCGGACACTTATTCGGGCCATCTTGCATGATGGCAGATATATAATTATGGTGTTTACTTGCCATTTCTGATGCATTAGGGTTTAAGCACTCGGACACTTATTCGGACCCTCTTGCATGATGGCAGATATGTAATTATGGTGTTTATTTTCCATTTCTCATGCATTAGGGTTTAAATAGTCGGACACTTATTCGGACCCTCTTGCATGATGGCGGATATGTAATTATGGTGTTTATTTTCCATTTCCCATGCATTAGGGTTTAAACACTCAGACAATTATTCGGACCCTCTTGCATGATGGCAGACATGTAATTATGGTGTTTATTTGCCATTTCTTGTGCATTAGTGTTTAAACACCCGGACACTTATTCGGACGCTCTCGCATGATGGCAGATATGTAATTATGGTGTTTACTTGTCATTTCTCATGCATTTGGGTGTAAATACTCGGACACTTATTCGGATCCTCTTGCATGATGGCAGATATGTAATTATGGTGATTACATGCGATTTCTCATGCATTAGGATTTAAGTACTCGGACACTTATTCGGACCCTCTTGCATGATGGGAGATATGTAATTATGGAGTTTATTTTCCATTTCCCATACATTAGGGTCCAAATACTCGGACACTTGTTCGGACCCTCTTGCACGGTGGCAGATATTTAATTTTGGTGTTTATTCACCATTTCTAATGCATTAGGGTTTAAACACTCGTTCACTTATTCGGACTCTCTTGCATGATGGCAGATATGTAATTATGGTGTTTACTTGCCATTTCTCATGCATTAGGGTATAAATACTCGGACACTTATTCGGATCCTCGTGCATGATGGCAGATATTTAATTATGCTGTTTACTTGACATTTCTCATGCATTAGGGCTTAAACACTCAGACACTTATTCAGACCCTCTTACATGATGGCAGATATGTAATTAGGGTGTTTATTGCATTAGGGTTTAAACGCTCAGAAACTTATTCGGACCGTCTTGCATAATGTCAGATATGTAATTATGGTGTTCATTTGCCATTTCTAAAGCATTATGGTTTAAACACCCGGACTCTTATTCAAACCTCCTTCCATGATGGCAGATATGTAATTATGGTGTTTACTTGCCATTTCTCTTGCTATAGGGTTTAAGCACTCGGACACGTATTCGGACCCTCTTGCATGATGGCAGATATGTAATTATGGCGTTTATTTTCCGTTTCTCACGCATTAGGGTTTGAATACTAGGATACTTATTCGGACCCTCTTGCATGATGGCAGATATGTTATTCTGGTGTTTACTTGCCATTTCTCATGCATTAGGGCTTAAACACTCGGACACTTATTCGGACCTTCTTGCATGATGGCAGATATGTAATTATGGTGTTTATTCGCCATTTCTCATGCATTAGGGTTTAAACACTCGGACACTTATTCGAACCCTCTTGCATGATGGCAAATATGTAATTATGGTGTTTATTTGCCATTTCTCATGAGTTAGGGTTTAAACACTCGGACACATATTCGGACGCTGTCGCAAGATGGCAGATATGTAATTATGGTGTTTACTTGCCCTTTCTCATGCATTTGGGTATAAATACGCGGACACTTTTTCGGATCCTCTTGCATGATGGCAGATATGTAATTATGGTGTTTACTTGCCATTTCACATGCAGTAGGGTTTATGCACTCGGACACTTATTCAGACCTTCTTGCATGATGGCAGATATGTAATTATGGTGGTTATTTTCCATTTCCCATGCATTAGGGTTTAAACACTGGGATACATATTCGGACCCGCTTGCGTGATGGCAGATATGCAATTTTGGTGTTTATTTGCCATTTCTCATGCACTAGTGTTTAAACACTCGGACACTTATTCGGACCCTCTTGCATGATGGCAGATATGTAATTATGGTGTTTACTTGACATTTCTCATGCATTAGGGCTTAAACACTCAGACACATATTCGGACCCTCTTGCATGATGGCAGATATGTAATTAGGGTGTTTATTGCATTACGGTTTAAACACTCAGACACTTATTCGGACCGCCTTGCATGATGTCAGATATGTAATTATGGTGTTTATTTGCCATTTCTCATGCATTAGGGTTTAAACACTCGGACACTTATTCAGACCCTCTTGCATGATGGCAGATATGTAATTATGGTGTTTACTTGCCATTTCTCATGCATTAGGATTTAAGCAATCGGACACTTATTTGGACCCTCTTGCATGATGGCAAATATGTAATTATGGTGTTTGTTTCCAATTTCTCATGCATTAGGGTTTAAACACTCGGACACTTATTCGGACCCTCTTGCATGACGGCAGATATGTAATTATGGTGTTTATTCGCCATTTCTCATGCATTACGGTTTTAACACTCTGACACATATTCGGACCCTCTTGCATGATGGCAGATATGTAATTATGGCGTTTATTTGCCATTTCTCAAGCATTAGGGTTCAAACACTCGGACCCCTATTCGGACCCTTTTGCATGATGGCAGATATGTAATTATGGTGTTTACTTGCCATTTCTCATGCATTAGGGTTTAAACAATCGGACACTTATTCGGACCCTCTTGCATGATGGCAGATATGTAATTATGGTGTTTATTCGTCATTTCTCATGCATTAGGGTTTAAACACTCGGACACATATTCGGACCCTCTTGCATGATGGCAGATATGTAATTATGGTGTTTATTTGCCATTTCTCAAGCAGTAGGGTTCAAACACTCGGACCCTTACTCGGACCCTTTTGCATGATGGCAGATATGTAATTATGGTGTTTACTTGCCATTTCTCATGCACTAGGGTTTAAACAATCGGACACTTATTCGGAACCTCTTGCATGATGGCCTATCTGTAATTGCGGTGTTTATTTGCCATTTCTCATCCATTAGGGTCTAAACTATCGGACACTTATTCGGACCCATTGCATGATGGCAGATATGTAATTATGGTGTTTACTTGCCATTTCTCATGCATTAGGGTTTAAACACTCGGACACTTATTCGGACCCTCAAGCATGATGGCAGATATGTAATTATGGTGTTTACTTGCCATTTCTCAAGCATTTGGGCTTAAACACTCGGGCACTTATTCGGACCCTCTTGCATGATGGCAGATATGTAATTATGGGGTTTATTTTCCATTTCCCATGCATTAGGGTTTAAACACTGGGATACATATTCGGACCCGCTTGCGTGATGGCAGATATGTAATTTTGGTGTTTATTTGCCATTTCTCATGCATTAGTGTTTAAACACTCAGACACTTATTCGGACCCTCTTGGATGATGGCAGATATGTAATTATGGTGTTTACTTGCCATTTCTCATGCATTAGGGTATAAATACTCGGACACTTATTCGGATCCTCTTGCATGATGGCAGATATGTAATTTTGGTGTTTACTTGGCATTTCTCATGCATTAGGGTTTAAGCACTCGGACACTTATTCGGACCCCCTTGCATGACGGCAGATATGTAATTATGGTGTTTACATGCCATTTCTCATGCATTAGGGTTTAAACACTCGGACACTTATTCAGACCCTCTTGCATGATGGCAGATATGTAATTATGGTGTTTACTTGCCATTTCTCATGCATTAGGATTTAAGCACTCGGACACTTATTCGGACCCTCTTGCATGATAGCAGATATGTAATTATGGTGTTTATTTCCAATTTCTCATGCATTAGGGTTTGAATACTCAGACACTTATTCGGACTCTCTTGCATGATGGCAGATATGTAATTAGGGTGTTTATTTGCCATTTCTCAAGCATTAGGATTCAAACACTCGGACCCATATTCGGACCCTTTTGCATGATGGCAGATATGTAATTATGGTGTTTTCTTGCCATTTCTCATGCATTAGGGTTTAAACAATCGGCCACTTATTCGGACCCTCTTGCATGATGGCATATATGTAATTATGGTGTTTATTCGCCATTTCTCATGCATTAGGGTTTAAACACTCGGACACATATTCGGACCCTGTTGCATGATGGCAGATATGTAATTATGGTGTTTATTTGCCATTTCTCAAGCATTAGGGTTCAAACACTCAGACCCTTATTCGGACCTTTTTGCATGATGGCAGATATGTAATTATGGTGTTTACTTGCCATTTCTCATGCATTAGGGTTTAAACACTCGGACACTTATTCGGACCCTCAAGCATGATGGCAGATATGCACTACAAGAAGTTGCACTTTTGGCGACTACTTTTGGCGACGATGTCAATTTTCCATCGCCAAAAGTATATTTTTGGCGACACAGTGATCAATTTCGTTGGTAAAAGTATACCTTTACCAACGCAATTTGCTACCGTCGCTAAAAAAACATAACATTCACTAAGCGCCAAAATTTTTAGTTGGCGCCAAAATTTCAGAACTTTTAGCTACGGGACTTATATTTTAGCAACATAGTGAGCGTTGCTATTAGTGTGTTTACTTTTGGCGACGACAAATTGGCGTGGGCAAAGAGTTAACCATTTAGCGACGATAACACTATTCGTCGGTAAAAGTTTTGCTAGTGAAATAAAATAATTTAGTGATTGTGATTTTATTATAACTTTTCAAAGTGTTTTAAATATTCTAATTACTGAATTGTAAAATTAAAGTGATTATTGAATTAGATCACAAAATAAACCCATTAAGCCCAAACGCATTTTTAAGTTAAGATGACTAATTGGAGATAATTTAAACTTTTTTCAAAGAATGTGGTTAGATTATTAATTTCAATATGTTGGATTTTATTTTCAGAATCTAGCTTCAATTTTCTTTTTCTAAAAAACAAAAAACAATTGGGTGAAAAAATAAAAAAATACTTATTATTTTTGTATAATTTTATCTTTTAAGTCATAAATACTTTTTAAAATTTTAAAAATATAGTTTTAATTTTTATTACTCTCAAATTAATTTTAATTTTTCCAAAAAAAAAAAAAAAACCTAAAAATTGTGTTGAATCGTTTTTCATAGCCAACTCTACTGACTTTCTGCGTGAGATTCATCTCCTTCCTTAGTTCTCCCCACCTTCGCGCAACTCATCTCCTCTCTCCTTCCATCACCACCGCCGGTGAGCATGGCTTCTTGTCGTCACCGGCCTCTCCATAATAACTGGTATGTATATCCTCCTATTTCTCTCTCTCGGTAAACCGTAACATTTATATTTTTTCCCCCTTTTCCTTATATTTGCCCTAGCCCCTTCATAAACACTGATCGGTCTCTTCGCTCTCCCTATCTCTCTCTCACAGTAATATGACTGACATGAATCTTGAAGGTACTCTCTTCAATTTCTTCTTTTGAATTTTAACCACTGTTCTCTAATCAATTTCTGGCTTTATTTATTATTTTTTTGAATTTTTCTCTGTATCAGTTTTTATTAATTGATGCAATCTGTTCCTTCTTTATTTTTTCAGAATTCATGTTCAATTTGATGTGTTGTTAAATTATATATATATTTTTTATGTTCAGCTGTTTGTTTCGTTGGATTTTGCGGGGGTTCTAGTCCGGGATCTGTAGTGATTGAGCTTTGAGAGTAAGTTGATTAATCACTTTTTTATAGCTTTGATTTTCTGAAATAGCTTGATTTCGAAACTTAAATTAAAGCTCTATAAAATTCCCAACAAGAGACAGGCCTAGTTAGGTATTAGAGTTGTTCAATCTATTGTCTTGGAACTAAGAAATAGTTATATGTGACTGAATTGATTAGAGTTGTCATTGGAGAGCATCTAGTCTATTAATCTTTGGAAATCTTAGAGGTTTTTTGTAAAAGCAGCAAGTTGAGAAGAATCTCAAGTGCTAGTAATCTTTTTCAGCGAAGTGTTGTTAGTACATTAAGTTTTGTTTATATGTATTACCAGAGGCATTAAATATATGTTATTTGAGAACTAGATGTGCTTCTTTTTGGCTTTTTGAATTTGATGTTCCTGTCATGTATTGGATATTTGTCCTCTAATATATATGACTTAATCTAATTAATTACCCTTAATTACGTTACACAGGGAAAATGAAATGTGTCATCTAATTAATTTTTTCCTTAATTACATTCATGCAGGGAAAAGGAAAGTTGAGTAGATCCTCAATGATGTTCCCTCCTGCCCAAAGAATGGATACCCTTAATGATTTACTTGCTGCAAGTGACCTTATTTCTCTTCACTGTGCTTTGACAAACGAAACAATTCAAATTATTAATGCAGATTGTTTGCAGCATATAAAGTCTGGTACTTTGCAGGGTTTCTTCCGTTTAGTACATTTATTTTATAAAGAAAAATACTGGGATTCCTATAACTTGCACTTATAGGGGAGTGCCTTGATCTATGCAGGGGCATTTCTTGTGAATACAGGTAGCAACCAGCTATTGGATGATTGTGCAGTAAAGTAGTTTCTGATTGATGGTACCCTTGCAGGCTGTGCTCTGGATGGTGCTGAAGGACCATAATGGATGGAAGCATGGGTATGATGAGTAGCCTTAGGGTATGAATTACAAGATGATAAAATGTTTGTTAAGAGTATGTATGTTCTCTTCTAGGCAGGACTTTCTGACATGATTTATATGGTTGTGTGTGATTGCTTGGCTGATGTTGGTAAAATTAAACCCTTTTTCATTGTGCATTGTTATGGGTTAAAATAAGGCATATTTATGAAGACGGTCATGTTATTTGATGATAGCACAATTTTGGTTGTGTTTTTTTACAATGCTTCACACATGTTTGCATAAATTCCCCACTCAAACTACATATTATTTTCTACTTCTGTTTATTTTGGTTAACTTCACTCACTATCTTCTTCGACTTATTTAGTACCAATAAAATGGAAAAAGAGATGTGATTGTTTAGATTGTTATTTGTAATGTTTCCTATGGAGTTCCTTTTGAATTGACCATGTAATTTGGTTGTATTATTAATGCAGGAGCCCGTCAAAGTTTCTAGACTTTCCAAGGAAATTAATTGTTATTTGTAATGTTTCCTATGGAGTTCCTTTTGAATTGACCATGTAATTTGGTTGTATTATTAAATGCAGGAGCCCTCAAAGTTTCTAGACTTTCCAAGGAAATTATTAAAGTTTCTTCTAGTTATCATCACTCCTATGCCATTACAAGTTCATATTTCTTGCTAGATACTTCATTTATCATGGTTTCATGGGGCCCAAGAATATTTACATGTTTTTCAATCTATATTCACAATTCATGCTACTTTATAGAATATTATAATATCTAATCAGTGTTTTAAGCTTTTGTCCTTTTGATATTATTTTGAACTCCCTTTCCTTCCACAATGTAAAATGCTACATATGCAAATTAAATCTATTTTCTAGTTTTAGTTTTTGACTTTTCATTTATTCAAGTCTACTTTAACACTTAACAGCTATCCATCTTTGATCATTAAATTATTATGCATATTTAAATAGTTAATGCTATTCATTTGTTGTTGTGTGTAAAGTTTTGATTTTAATAAAATCAAAAGCATCTATCCTTGTAAGTGTAGATTTACAAATTTGAACATACTAAATTCTAAATATAGAATTATTGTTTGACTACAATAATAGTGATTGCGTTCAAATTCAATTTTTGTTACCAAAAGAAAGAAAATATGGCTTCATCTTTACTGCTTCCACTCGGTAACACACTACAATAGTGATTACGTTGTTGCTTAGATGTTCTTCATCTTTAATTCTGCTAGCTGCTGCTACTGCAACGTTGCTGTGAGGCGTGCATGCTGCCAATCTATCTGATGAAGAACTTCCTGAATCAGCACTTGTGATACGTGAAACTTCTGCAACATCCACTAAAGATGCTGACCAAGGTTTTTCTGATTGACTATGCTGCAGGAGAGGTAATCTAGCTTAACATGGATACTAGTTACCAAAGCTACCTGCTGATTATAATCTATTTATGGAATTGATATGAATTTATTTGTTAATGACCTATATATATATGCTTGAAAAAGTATGAGTATCTAAAAGCTCCTGATAGTGTATCATGAGCAGAGCTTCAAGGCGTCCACAATGTTACTCTCTACACATACAGGAGTTTGGTTCGGTTCCTCTGTAACTCCCCACCCCATTATTGTCACATCTCTTAAATTTCAAACTAAACCCAAATCTTTAAGGCTTCATGCCTTCTCCTCACTCTTCAATTTCCCTATCGCAAGCAGGATCATGGTTAAAAGTATGTTTTCATCTTCCTTTTCTGCTTTATATATGTAATTTATGTTGATATATATCTATAACATATATAAAAAGTGTGTAAGAGTGGTATACTGATGCTGCCTCCAGTGATATAACGCTCATGTTTGCTTGGTTTCTAACTCTTTGCTTGCAGATTTTGGGTACGTGGGCTTCAAATCATCCACATACATAATAGAAGAAGACAAATTTCATCACTTTTCCTAGAAATTTCCAAGACCGACCGGTGCTCCTGTTACTTGCCTATTTTCCAGAGCTTATCTATTACAACTCACCCATGCAAATCCTTTATTACAACTCATGAAGAGGTCTCTCATATTGAGAGCTTGGACTATGAGTAAAAACATCTTACTCTGTTCTTGCATTCTAATGTTCCTTTTTCTTCTTCACATTCTTCTTTATGCAGCAAATTCTTTTTATACAGGATCAATGAGAATGATCTCTTCAAGCATGACTGGAGAAGCAGATCAAAAGTCCAAGTATTGCAGTATATTTTCTTAAAATGGACGCTGGCTTTCCTTGTTGGGCTTCTAACTGGCATAATTGCCACATTCATCAATCTTGCAGTCGAGAATATTGCAGGGTACAAGCATCTCTCCATGGTTCGATACATAGAAGAAGAAAGGTATTGTTATATCCTTGCACTAAATTAAGAAACTCATTTGAAATATTTTCAGCTAACAGATAATTCTCAAATATCCTTCACCCAAAAAAAAAAAAATGTTTACCTTGGCTAGAGCTGGGAATTGAGAAATGCTTTGGCAATCATCTTGGTGTATGCAGGTACCTGATGGGATTTATATTTTTTACTGGTGTTAATTTTATTCTGACCATGGTTGCTGCTGTTCTCTGTGTGTGTTTCACACCCACTGCGGCTGGACCTGGTATCCCATAAATCAAAGCTTATCTCAATGGGGTAGACACTCCAAACATGTTCAGTGCTACAACATTGATTGTCAAGGTGAGTGACATCCTACAATCACTTGGAGAGCACTATGAATACTTGTTTCTTACTTAGGATCATGTTTATCAATTTCTTTTGTTTGCAGATGTTGGTATTGGATTTGTACGTTTGTGTGTTAAATCAGTGTTTATTAATATGTATACCTTGCACACATTGTGTTTGACAATATGCCTATAAGATAAAACTTATTATGTTCATGTGCTTATGACATTTATTGCCAATGAAATTGGTTTATTTTATTTTATTCCTCCATATCAAAACATAACGAATTAACTTGCCTGTTCTTGTCATATAGGACTTTGAATGGTTATTTTTGCTATGGTTTCATATGGTTTCCTTCATGCTAAGTTTCTCTTGGTAGGTTTTAAGGTTTATATCAATCATGACAAAGTTGATACTTGTGAAAGTTCACAATGTGAAGTGAGTTCAAGCACAGGTAATTAATGAAATCTTGCTGATGGTATTTGTAAACCAAAGTATAACTATTAGACTTGTTGAAAATATGAACACGAATATATTCACTTAAAACCCATATGCTTTCAGCTACAAAGATAGAATTCTGAAGGTGTCAGGTTTTACAGGAACTGAAAATTCAGGTCAGTAATGCAATAGAAAAATTTACTTGTTTATGTTATTTGTTTTTAGAAAAAATTTATTTATCTTAATTTTTACGTGTTAATGATGAGATAATATTACTATCACATTAATTTTTTACCTTAATTTGTATATTATCTTCCACAATAAGAGGAAACGGGTTTGACATCTTTTCTTCCCTTCTTCTCTCTAATCACTGAGTTTTTTATTTTTATTTTATTTTTTGAATTTTTTCTTTGTTCCGCAGTGGAAGGCTCTCCTTCAATGTAACAAAATCTGCAGGAGTAGAGAGAAGAGAATCAAACAAACAACAAAGAAAGGGAAGCGAGAGAGAGAGATATAAATTTATGTGGCAGATTGCAGGCCATTGGGTTTCTTGGTAGGATTGCCATTCGCTTTCATTGCTTTGCTTCTCTCTCTTGGGTTTCTTGGTAAGATTTTAATGTCTTTATTTGGCATTTGTCATTACATAATTTGATGAGGTGAAAATGTTAATCATTTGATGGATTTATTTTTCAATGGACTAAAGCAAGTTATATAGAGTCTTATGTTGATGCCATAGTGTTAGACTCCACTTTCAGCTTTTTTTGGTCAAAATTTTCGTATCGTTTTCAATATATTTTGCTAGTCTAGTGAGAGATCCATTGTTTTCACTGTAGAATTGGTTTTATTTTTGGCATTTTAAAGTTTTCCAATTATGTGGATCAAATTTCGTCGAATCTTGTGATTGTTTGGTCTTGAAATTTGACTTTCGGGAGCAGAGTGTTTGAACCTTTTTCTGTTTTTTGCTAGAAATGTCCTGTTTAGGTCTTTGCCTCATTTGAATTGTTTTCAACACTTCTTTAGGGTTAGATTTTATTTGAATTTATCAGTATTGTGAAGATTTTTATGTGTTTGAGTTGAATTTCAAGTCTCACTTGATGTCATACAATGTTTGGTTCATGAAATGTTTAGGTCTTCCATTTTCAGTAACTTTTTAGGCTTTTGCATTTCTTTGTATGTACACAAACTAGACATGGAATTTTTGTGGTGTTATGAATTTTTAATCCTCTTAGGAATCTTATTATTCAAGTTGTCATTGTGACTGTTTATTTTAAGAAAAATTACCAAAAAGTGGTGAGTAGACAAACTAGTTACAATTTGATGGAAATTCAAATATAATTGTATTAGAGATGAAAACTTGTAATTTTATTCAAGTATAAATGTTAATCCTTTCCCATTTGCTGCTGCCCGTTTGCTGCTGCCCATTTGCCTTGATTTCCTGGATTTGCTAACTGCTGGATGTAGGAAAATAGGTCTTTAGTTGGTCCTTCTACTTATTTTTGGATGTCCTGTCTCGCTCGTTTTATCATTTTATTTTCCTCATGTTGGTTAGTATATATCAGTTAAAGTACAACAGTTTGACTACTTATTAACTAAGATTTAACAACTTTGAAGATGTATTTAATGAAAATAGATTCATTATCAAAATTCTTACTTAGCATGACTCTAGTTAAAATACACACTAACCAAAGTAGAGACAAAAATAAGTCAGATAATAGCCTGCTGTTAAGTGTGATTCACTTTCACAAGATTTTGGAGTGCATCCTATATATACATAATGTGAAACTACATCAGCATCAAAGTTCAACAACACTTGTTTAGAAACTTATATATGATATAGTTTTTGGGTAGTTTATAACTTTTTGGACAATTATAACTTAAGGATAGTTCTTTTTGGATGGTTTTGAATTAAGGCTAGTTTTTGGATGATTGGAATGTATAGACAATTTTGAATCTAGGTTGAGAGAGGAAGACAATAACTGGACCATGATTTTGTGTTCACTGGCTGCCCAACTACATAATGACAGTAACCTGTATTCAGTCAGTATTCGAGAGTAGTATAGTATAGTGTAACCTGTATTCAGTCAGTATTAGATGGAGGAGAGACAATGCCTAAGAAGGTATGGTTTTGTAGTTAATAAAATGGAGAAAGATTCAAAAGAATGTTGGACTCAAATCTAACTCCATTCACAAAGACATTAAAATCTTCAAATCACTCGGGATTCCCATGGCAAAGGACCCAAGTGGTTACCTGACAGTTGATTCAACACCTAGGTGCCAATATTTTCTTTTTTTCACTTTATCGTTCATCTAACATCGATGTGGCGAGATTAATTTCCTGCAATAGATGACTGATATATTTCCATGTTAGATGTTCATGATTGAGAAGTTGCATTGCAATGCATAATGTGGTACATTAGCTTAGGTAAATGCAATAGGACATGGATGTCTAGTTCATAATATTCTAAAAAGAGGCAAGGCTCCAATTTTACATGGATTGCACTTGGACTTCTGTAATTAAGTGTAGGATCAACATGAGTGTTTATTTCATGTTTCTCATTAGTTCATGACTATATGACATGTTTATTTAGGCTTTATTTGGTTTAGTAGTTAAGGGTGGTTTTGTTACTTTCAATTTTGCTAGATTTGGGTTGTAGAAGTATAGATCCATCCAGGGATTTTTTTTCATTTTTTTTAGTCAAGCTGTATTATTGGATTGTTATTTGTGATTTTATTGGGTATAGAAAAGTCTTAATTGTCAAAGAGCCAAAATTCTCTATTTCTGAGTCTTTTTTCTAGTAGCATTAAGAGAAATCTAGTAGGCTGTAAATACGTATGTAATCTTTCTATCTTATAAATTAAAGTTGTCATTGTGAAATTGTATTTGTGTAGTTTTGCTTAACACTTGCAAAAGAGTAGTTGTACATATATTCAAATGTTTTCAAATGCAATGCACTCTTCTCAGCTTCTAAGTGAACGACAATGGACTATTTAAGTATCTGTTGAATGCCCAAATTCTTTATTTCTCTTCAAGATGACATCAATTGTTGCCTGTACATAAGTTCTTACCTTGCATCATGAATGACAAATTTATCATATTCCACCACCGAGACTTGTTTGAAGCAGAGTTAGTCTGATTATTTATGCTGTGCAATGCTGTCTGCTATGGTGGTTATTGGTTTGTATGTCTGTTGTGATGCTGTGGTGTTCATTCCCTAGTGGTTGTTGGTTTGTATGTCTGCTGCTGGCTGCTGTGGTGTTCATTCCCTGGTGTTTGTTGGCTGCGCTGACTGCTTATGTTGTGTGCTCTAGCTGCTGTTTTTTTGGTGCTCATGCTGCTGATGTTGTGTTTGTTGGTGTTTCTTGTCTTTCTTTATGTGTGTTAGTTTGTTAGTTTTGGTTTTCTTATGCTTGGGTGAGGTTGGCTTCGGTGTTTGTGGTTGGTTTCTCACCAACTCTTGATGGTGTGCTAGCATAAGATTGGGCGGCCTTATGGGTGCCAACCTAGTTGGGATTGATTTGGTTCGCTATGACTTGCTCTCCAATTGGTACTTTTACCTCCTCTTCTTGTTTGGGATAATTTTATCTGCATTATATTCTATGTTCTAGTACTATTTATCATTTAACCTTTTTGATCTTTTGGGTTTTTGTCCATGATAATAGTGATTTCAGATTTCTTTTGAGGACCTTTTTTTTTTTTCTTAATTTTCTAGACATGGAATTTTTTTCTTATTATTCAAGTTGTCATTGTGACTGTTTATTTTTAGAAAAATTACCAAAAAGTGGTGAGTAGACAAACTAGTTACAATTTGATGGAAATTCAAATATAATTGTATTAGAGATGGAAACTTGTAATTTTATTCAAGTATAAATGTTGATCCTTCCCCATTTTTCTTTTTTCTCTCTTTACTTCCCCTCTCCTCACCCCATCTAATTTTCAGTTTTTGAGTTTTTCTGTTGTTGTTGATATAGTTTATATTCTCATCTTTTAGTTTCCATGATTAGTGTGTCATATGTCCAAGCATGGCCGACCATACTATGTTCCTCTAATTATATATATACACATATTTGAAGCTTTCAAGTACATTTTTCTGCTGAAGTTATTCATATATCCATAATAAATGTCTCTGTTAAATTATTGATTTGCAGAAATTCACTGTACCTCAGAAATTCTTTAGTCATTTTTATGTGTTGGCTGTGGTGTGGACAACATTGTTGTTGGTCACAACTTGGTT